CTAGAGTGGAATGTCCCAAGCCTCCAGTTTAACCCTCACAGTTTGCGTTCTGCAATCCAGATGAGATCTCAACCAATCCAGAGATGAGTCACGAATTCTTTGACAAAACAGCTTGCTCAAAAGTAAATCGTGATCAACAGTGTCGAAAGCTCGTGACAAGTCGAATAGAACACGTTTTTTCACCTCTATTGAGATTAGAAATGACTTCATTGACTATATTCTTTCAAATCTTGTTTTCAGAACCTGAAATGCCCTTCCATCTAGTTGTCTTCTTTCGGGGAACTTGTCTTCGTAAATACTAGATGCATAGACCCCAAAGCATAGACCATTTGCATCATATCTTCCAATACATAATTCATAATGAAAATGATTCAATCCACACGCGAAAGAAACTTCAACACATGGTGTTATTGATTAATTCCGAGTCATGGATAACTGGGTTTTTAAAGAAGAAAGCTGTATAAATATCATTTAGGTTTTTTACGCGTTTATTACCATTGAAATCGGCTGACAACTATCACTAGATGGTATGAAAAATGCTAATGTACTAGCGATTAGTTTTATTATTCGAAAAACAATTTTGAGTAATGAACGTATAAAAATACATTTTTTTTTGGTTACAACAATATCAGTTTATTATATAGTATACCTCTAATACAAATAGAAATTTGAAAACAAAAATTCCTTAGGGAGCTAAAATAATATGGAATCGAATGACGTATTCATACACTGGGTGTTCCGTTTGAAAAATATAACCGATATGACTGCGAAAAAAATTGAGCAGTTTGAATAATTGTTTCCTCTGATAGCAATGGACCGAGGGAATCTTGTTGACTCACCCTGTATGACTACTTGTGTCACTTCAGAAAAACTAATGCAATAAAGTACCTAACACTGAAAAAAGAATGTGTGAAATATGTCATTTGTCTCCCCACTCCTTTAAAGATTCTGAAAGTAACAGATCTACCTCCTATAAAGGGTTGAGCTGCAAGGATCGAAAATATTCCTTGATTTTTTTTCCTTGAAAATGAAACGAACGCGCCTTTTCGATTTTTCATCTTCTAGAAATCAATATTGAGGGCGGGAAATTTTGAAACGGACGCTCTGTATATATCAAATCTTCCCCAAAAGTAAGGAATACGTTCTATAGAATTCTCGACGATATTTTCAAAAATTGAAATGGAAAATACCACTGACAATACCTCAATTGATATTTTTCTTAAGATTCCAATGCCAACTGTTTTGATATGTAAATGTGTCACCATATTATTTTTTCAACGAATTGAAAATATGGTAAAATATGTGTTTCATCAACTAGCTATCGCCCCTTACAACTGTCAAAAGTTGAAACTTGTACAAGCTAAGGTCTAACGAGGTCTTACCTTTTGACGTGTGATTCCTAACACGGGTTGGACGGTGGCTACCGGTGAATTGACATGGATTATGAAAAGTGAGAAATATAACTTTCCATGTTTTTATACCACTTGTATTTATAACTAATGTTTCTGCGGTTTCAGTTTATAAGGGCATTTTCAAACGGATATTGTCTTCGTATGAAAATGTCTTTGAAGGACATAACTGCAGTAACGTTAGTTATGAATACAAGTGGTATAAAAATAAGTAAATAAATATGTTAAACGGTTTTATTGAAAAAAAAAAGAAAATAATGATGCAGGTAATGTACTAAAAAGTAAAGGCTGATTCGGAAGGTTCTAGGTAGTAGTCGTCACACCACTCTCCTCAGCAATTTGCTGTATTGATAAGATTAAAAAGTGATAAAATCGTTGGATGTAGCTTAACCTGAGTGAAGATAATAATAATAATAATAAATCGACTTTATTCATCAAAAATAAATTAGATGAACAGGCGGATTATCAGCATAAGCTGTTTTTCAAATCAACCTTACAAAAATATACAATAAAAACTATAATAATAACAAGTTGGTTGCTTTGAAAATATCATCCGTTATGGAGAGGAGTGCGGAAGTCGTGCTATGTTGAGAACGAAACCCAGACTGAACGCTAGTTATGATATTGTAAGAAGTGATGAATTCAATCATCTGATCTTTGAGAATCAGCTCAAGCGTTTTAGATAGGGAGGGTAAAATACTAATGGGCCTAAGATCAGAGTAATGGGAATACTACGTCCGAAGATTATATTATTTTCTGATCTATACCGTTGATTGCTAAGGACAGTGGTGTGATGACTGCTACCTAGGACTTTCCGAATTATTTTCTAGTTTTCGGTAAATTATCTAATGTGCTGCTTTTTTGTGTTGATATGAATGAGTGGAAAAATTATGAGCGATAAATTCGTTGAATTGATTGAATCGTTGAAACAATGGATGTTCTTTGTCTCATTGAATCGCTTGAAATGAAATGAAATTTACTTTGTTTTTCGCAGAACCGCGATACGCGTTTTGCTATACATTGGCTTTCTCAAGCAAGATTTGATAAACTACTTTGAGATTGGAGCATTTTGTATTCCAAAAACATCACCATGATCTATGGTTCGATCAGATGGATTATTCTGATGTAGTTTTCAACTACCTGAAACTAGCGAATACAATCTTTACCGTTGGCCAATTTCATTACCTACAATTTACGATAATAATTACGACTTATTGGAAAAACTAAGAATCCAATATATTGCTTTGCTGACGACGACACACTTGTCTCGTCATTACATCTGGATTCCAGGACATCGGCTGGTCACTCACTTGTGACCTAACCTAACTACTTACTCACATATATATTCAATCGATCGCTTCGAAAACACTTCATTTACTTTCTTGAAAAGCTTCTGATAATTCCTTCTCCATATTCTCCGTTTCACTATCACTGTCGTCATTTGAATCAATAATGAATTTATTTCCACCATTGATATAGAGGTATCCAATCTCCATATAGTCTTTTTCAACTAAAAGTACTTTTTTGATCCTTTTCTGCCAGTCTTCTTCGGTAATATTAGATACTTCTTCTTTAAATAGCTCTATCAACTTGTTATCAAATTTTGGAAAATTATTTTTTCGCCTGATGCTTTGTTTCAATTTTCCCCAAATCAACTCGATGGGATTGAAAACACAAAAATAGGGGGGAAGTGTCAATATGGTGTGTCCATTCTTTTCAGCAATACTCTCAAGGGAATACACTTTTTCAAATGTTTTTGTCTGTAAAACTTCAAGTAGTTGGTTTTTGGTATGGTTATCTTCAAAATACAAATTATTATCCATTGAAAAACTTTGTATTTCATCTTTCCTCGAATTTTTATTCGGAACTTTGATGAGCTGTCGCGAATGATAGGAAGCGTTGTCAAGAACTATCACACTATTCGCATCCAAATTTGGGAACGATGTCTTCTCAAACCGTTCCTCGAAAATATTAGCTACCATGTTCTTATGATAGTTAACATTGCAATCCTCAAGTTTTTGACCACATAATTTCAAAGAATTCGGAACCCTTCCTTTACTTCCTTTGCAATTCGCAATGATTAGTCGCGATCCTTTGTTTGCAGGAATGTTAGGCGTACACATTCTCGAACCATCAGTCCACCCTTTCGTAACTGTGTCGTGAGTGTCATACCAAGTTTCGTCCAAATAGAAAATTTGCCGTTGTGCTTGTCTATATTTAGTTATTTGTTCTGAGTATTTGTTACGTAATTCCACTATTCTTCTGCATTCCATAACTGCTTGACGTTTGTTTATTATTTTAAATCTAAATCCTAGTTTCTCTATCCAATTCCGAAGAGTTTTATCGCAGCAGCTCACGTTATGGCCGGAAGTATTCAATTTCTTTCTTATGATTTCAATTGTAGGAATCTCATTGCTTTTGTAACAGTCGTATATTGTTTTTTCAATGATTTTATTAGATGAACATCTGAAGGTTTTGGTAATCCCGCATCAAAGCGCGTCTTGCGTTTCTCAATGTTAGTTTTTAACTATTTTACGTACAGTTGAGAAAGGAACTTCGGTCAAATCTATTGTAATAGTTGCTTGTAATAGTTTAAATCCTTCGAAACCAAACTTGATATGTAGATTCTTATATACATTACATTGTTCATTGAAACATACTTTCTGTGTTTCAATATTCAAATGCATCCGAATCTTATTCACTGGTATCTCTTTTTCGCATTGTTCACCAGCGCTATTGGAATAACTACACATGAAAAAGTCTGCGTTGTTTTCACACTCGTTAACACTATCAGTACAATCATAAAACTCGGTTAGTAAAAATTATCCAATACGAACCGCCAATTCTTCAGTCCACGTGGACTAATTCGTTGCGGCATGATTCCTTTGTATTGGTTTTTTTGGCCTTTGACTTCGCCGACACCTTTAAGATTACTATATCAATTACTTCGACTATACAGATGAGAAATACGCGACGGACTGTGGCTGTTCACTGTTTCGAAATTCAACTCAGTACAGCTCGAACTTCAACTGTTTTCTGTTGATTAACGTTGATTATTGCGATTATTATCATGACAAACCATGATTACCTGGTGATAACATCAACTCACAAGGAGCTAGTGTACTCATTTTGATCTTCCATCAGACATTGGATTTTTTTGTTATATTCAACACAAAAAAATCTACCAATTGAGGTATCGTAAGAAGTACTTTGATATCATTCAATTTGGAGTTGACAGAAAATGATTATAAGAAGGACGAAAATATGAGAAATTTATGCCTGAATGGTAATCCACACATGAATATCGACGTTTGCAAAATCCTTTCATGAAAGATTTTCTAGAATTTTCTCTCACTCGAAAGACACTGTATAATCAAACGTTCCCTGTCCAAACAGTGTTTCATATTCAAACCTAACATGGAAATCAAATAAACCATGAAAACCCCTGTTATTCCGGAGGAAACGCTCTCAAACAGTCCTCAACAAATAAAGCGGATCAACATTTAATCTCGGAAATAGTAAAATTCCTTCCGCAGCATGCATTTTAGTGTATGTGAGTGTGGTAGGCAAGAAATTGGTGTTTATACTGACCTCTGACCGGAGGCAGGAGTCTCTTGTCATAACGAGTGGCCTTCAGGAGATTATCCAAGATTTCTTTGTCGGACTTTCCCTCTTCGAAGCTGCAACAGAATGAATTTTGGTGTTATTTGGAGTAACTGTGAAAGGAGAAAGTTTTTTTTATAATACGGAAAATCGTCTCAAATTTCTTCCAGTCATATTCTCCAAACATATTCTGATGCGCGATGTTGAACAACTTTGAGTTGAATAACCAGAAAAGCATTACACACCCCAGGGTTCCATACTGGGGCCTTTTTCCTAGTTATATACATTGAGACACATTCAAAATGCAAGCTCCATTATAAGACAAATTTCAAACGATTGTAAATCAGGTAGACATTGGTGAAGTTTGCTAAAACACACAATTTCATGAACGAGTCTTAGATTTCAGAACCAACTTTCATTATAAGAGATTTTTTTATTGAAAAAATCACTACGCTACTGGATTCAGAGTGCCTCTAAATAGGTGTGACCAAAATTTCATGAAAAAATATTCATTATTAACAAAGTTATGACAACTCAAAAATTCGAAAACTCACACAGCTAACAGTCACAATATATAATTTTTTTTATGATTTCAACAATAAAGTGCCGCCAGATGAAAAAATAACAAATAGCGTGAATATTTTTAATGAAAATAACGGAATTACATTCACACAATTCAACTAACAATGAAGCAAAAAATTTTAATAAACGTAACTAATAACTAATTATTGAAGGTTTCGATTCAGTGCAACAATTAATTCTAACTCATATTTCAGAACGTAATCAGAAACTAATGTTTCTGATTACGTTCCTTAGTTCTGGAGGGGTAATATCTGCACATACCTGTCGAATCCTTGCACAAAGTTCATTTCTATCTCTTGAACGGTTTTTGTAAACCTTTTGTGTGAGAAGTCCCCAGAGAAAAAAGTCTAAAACTGTGAGGTCTGGAGATCGGTGGCCACTCTATAAACGGACCACCACGGCCTATCCATCGGTTTGAAAAATGTTCGTTAAGCCATTGCCCCACAGCTCTGGCATAACGAACTGAACACCCATCTAACTGGACAATTGAATTTGATCGTTCATTGATTGGCAGTTCGTGAATAGCATTCCAAAACTCTGTGTTTAAAAATTCTAGAAACCTCTGCGCATTAATGTTTTCCTCAAAAAAGAAAGTACCAATAATTCGTTCGTTCAATATCCCACACCAGACGTTGATTTTTTCTTTTACAGTTTATTACCCAGTAAGGATTATCCGCTGCCCAATAGCGATAATTCTGTGATGACACTACTCCATTTGTAGTGAAAGTGGCTTCGTCGGTATATAAAATATTTTTTAGGAAATTTCTATTGTTTAAATATTCCCCTGGGGCCCATAAACAATTTCTAGGCGTCTTGCTTCGTCGCCTTCTTGAAGTGTGTGTAAAAATTTTGGCTTGAAAGGTTTCATATTCTTCGCCTTGAGACATCTCCGAATAGTTTCTCGTGGAATATTCAAATCTAAAGTGGCATTCCTTATACTGGCATTAGGATTATTTCCGAAAAAATCTAAAATGATTTGATCATTCCTGTCATTCCTGTTTCGTCTTTGTACAGGATTACTTTTTAACATCATTTTTGATACTGCACCAGTTTCATTGAATATATTATTTATTTTATTTACCATACCGCAGCTAATACGAGGACGATCTGGATGTCTCTCATTAAATACTCTACAAACCTCTCTAGCACTTCTAACATCATCTCCCAAAAGGCGTACAATTTCAATTTTCTCTCTTACGCTCAATCTTGCAGCCATAACACAAAATAATTCGAAGAACTGTAAGGTGAATATTGTTGACAATAGTACACTTAAATCTTTCACAAGTGTCAAACTGTAATATCGTTTCCATGGCAACTAAGATTCAAATTGAAATATTAGGCCTTAGTTTTAGTTAATTTTCGTGAAAACTTGAATGTAATTCCGTTATTTACATTAAAAATTTTTACTCTATTCGTTTTTTTTTTCATTTGGCGGCACTTTATTGTTGAAATCATGAAAAAAATATTCTCGTGGCTATATCTGTTGATATAGGGTATTTATTGTAACTGTTAGCTGTGTGAGTTTTCGAATTTTGAGTTGTCATAACTTTGTTAATAATGAATATTTCGGTCATGAAATTTCGGTCACACCTGTTTAGAGGCACTCTGAATCCATTGGTCGAGTGATATCTTAATGAACTGAAGTCTATGGAATGGTTTTGTTGCAAAATATGATGGGCGACTGCTGATTTTTCAGGTCTTCCATATTTTAAGTATGCTAAGTGTTCCTTATATATTACTTTAATAGATCTTTTTGTCTGTCCATTTTTCGAAACGACAACATATCAATGTATAATCGCTGAATGAAATTTTGATACATTTATTTTCATTGCTCAAAAATACCATTAGGAAACATCACACGAGTTGATCAACCACCAAAAAATGTGAATACAACAAGTTCTGTTGTTCTTATTTCAATTTTTTTCTCCGCAAGACTTCATGAACACGGCTTCATTCCGACAGACTATTGTTTTCGTTATCCGCAATATCACCACTACATCTACATCGCTGCAGCAGCCAGAGGACATGTCAGCACGAATGAAAACGAAAAATACGTGATGAGAATTTGAAAGCTATGCTCCAATTCTCTGGTGTACGAAAGAGTGGCATGTGACAGATTTGATTTGTCAAACTTGCCGACGGTTCGAAACGAAGCAATCACTTCGATTTATATATTTTAGCGTGAGCAAATCTCAGTTGATATTGCTAACTGGATATCATAGCCTAGGAGCTGAAGGAGAATTTAGAAAACTGATTTTTAGCAACTTGATAGTTGGAAAAAACTATCATAACGGTGTTGATGAGTCATGAATCATAAGTCTGAAGGGCAATTTAGGTTTAATTCGTTGAAGTTATGTATGCATTTGAATATACATGTGAATCATTATCAATTTCAACATCAGAACATATTCAATGAAGGCTGTGCATTCAATTCTATTTGGTCCAATGAATATTCTGAATTCCCCAATCTATTGATTTCTATTTATTTCAAAAGATTGAGTTCCAAACTTTTCTCTTTCAAATATACCACGTCATGATGAATTGGTTAAGGCTTTCGCAGCCGAAATTTCCACTAGTAATACCACTAGAGGAAATTTTTTCGAGCTCATTAATATTTTGAAAATTTACCGAAACGCAGACGAGGAAAATTTTCTAGAAATATTCATGAGAGAGAAAACATTTCCGGAAATTAACTTAATGGTGATGTTTTTAGTTGATAGAGTGAATTTTAGAGTGTGTCTGCTGTTTCGGGTGTTAAAATGGGAAGAGGATGCAGCAAAATTTAATATATGCTTATTTATTAAACACACAGATTGCAGTTTAAATAATGCAGTTACCGTTAAAATATTATGTTTTTTGAAGAAGGTTCTACAGGAGTTTCTTGGTTTAAGGTTTCATATATACCGTATATACCGTACATACTGTAAAATTAGTAAACTTTTGAATGCAGTTGAACTGCATGCTCCCCAAAACGGTATTCCGTATCGTAAGTGAGAATCTATGAGTGCATAGTACGCCATATTTGCAGTGCTGAACTCTAATTCTGTATAAATCACTCTAACCGCATAACAGCCAGAGGAGACTTTTCTAGTGAGTTGTTCAACATGATCCACAAATTTTAAATTCTGGTCAATTCAATATGTAGTTGGAATTCAGTTAGGTTGGGTTGCTACTTTCCCTTCTACTTTCTACAACTCTTCAATCGATTCACAAAAAGTTTCAAGCAGTTTCTTGAACTCTGAAATGCAGTAAATCACGTGTGTCTAGTCGCATTGAATTACAACATAAGCGGGAGACGTGGACGAAAGAGAACCGAGAAGAAAAGTGGATTAACTCCGGACGAAGTAATTTTCGTGAAATACTCACATATCAGAAAGGGCCACAGTTTCTCGAGTCACAAGAAGAATAGCAGCCACGCGAACCAGCATACAGGGCTGACCCATATTAGGACATCTGAAAAAAAAAGTTCATCAAAATGGACTCTTATTAAAAGTTAAAATCGAATACAGGTGATATTATAATATTCGTGCTGGGCATCGCACGTTTAAAGGTCAGACCTCTTTAATCCATAGCTCGTTCAAGACTCGTAAGTAGGGAGGCGACATCTGATTCTGATATCACCTCAATGAAATTGTCAAGGAGTTGTTTCATTACCTCTCACTTGAAATGAACCTCTAGAAACTCTTGTTTCTGCTTTTCACTGTGTTTTTCCGTTAACCAGCTGCCGCCGCCTACGAACGACAACTCTGAAAAGTCTAAACTTCAGCAAGCTAAAGACTAACGAGTTCTTACTTACAACGGGTTGGATGATTGGAAGTGAAAATCGATCGCCCGACCTTGAGGTTTGAACCACCGGTACACACAGTGGTGGACTGAGTGAGTGAAGCGACCTACCCACTTCAACCCAACAAGCTACCGTCCCCCAATTGAATTGTGGAGGATGTAGTGGAGGATGATGCCATTTTAATATTTGAAGAGGCGATTTTACAACAGAATCTGTTACTACTCTTTTTTGCTAACACGTTTTTATTAGCTTCACCTTTATGTATGTATGTTTGTTTGTTTGTAACTCTCAAGCTTGGGATCCGTATTTGACAGAATTATCGACATTATTGCTTGATCTATTTGCGGGTAGATGGCGCTATTCGTAACATCCTAGATATATCGACATTATTGCTTGATCTAGTCGCGGGCAGATGGCGCTATACGTAATCTTCTTGATATAATTCGAACTCACTTCACGTGTATTTCTTCATTTGAAAAAAGTATTTTTTTCATTAACACGCACGCCTGCTTCCTTATTTGTAACCCTTCTTTGCGAGGCTCCTGCTCTGCGGTTGGTAGCTGATTTTCAGGCTCCCTCTCCGGAATCGGAAAATATCAATGGTCATTTTTCTAAACAATATACGGCTGATTGATCCCAACGTTTAGATGAAATAAATATAGTTTGAAAAGGCTAAGAAACACGCCTTTATAGTATACGTAATAAAGAAATGAAAATGAATATAGTTTAACAGCCTGAAAAAAACGCTTTTAAAAAACATCGTTCTAAAAAGTTGAAAATATTTTTTAAATAAGCTCAAAGCATTAACACATTGAACGCCATGTGAGTTATATATAACTCACGGTGTGTTTAGTCACCAAGTTTCGTGAGGTAAATACAACTCCAACTACACAATCGACTTTACGTTCTGCGAGTTAAATATACTTCACGACCACTATATAAATCATAAGAAAATGCATTCAGCGTGGCCTGAGGACTACCTTATTCAATTTAGCCCATATTTTTATGTAAAAGTTAGTCACATGGGACTTGTTGAAATTGAGGTATCAATGAAACAGGAACCACTTTATTTTTTTATTAAAACTATTTGACACATTTACAAAAAAAATTTGTATGCTGGAAAAACAGTACAAAATATTGAAATATATAAAAATAATTCTATTGTTTTACAAATTTATGTTTCAAAAAAAAACATTCAACACAAAAAAATTTTTGGCATCCTTCACATTTATAGGGACTTTGCTTACATTTTTTCATAGCGTGCTCTCTTCCATGTTCTACTGACATATTTTCATAACAAACACAGCATCTCCTTCTTATTGAGTCTTTTTTTAGTGCACATCGCGTTTCCTCTTCAACTGGAATATTTTCTTGAAGTTGCACCTCTTTTTCGAGCAGACCTCTGGTTATCTCCTCTCTGAACTGTGTCATGTTTTTTTTGTCGTTGGTTATAGATTTGTATAAGATATGGGCATTTGTTATAGTAGATCCGGTAATGAGTTCCACTGCCAGTTTTCTATACCATTTCACACCCCTACGGAGGGAATTTGAGTAGGATTTCATTTGATCAGACAAATCAATAAATGCTTTGCATTTGTTATAGTCCACTACAGCCTCTGGTTTTTCTACTACTTTTCTGTTACCTGCTTGGACTTCCACTGTGTTTTCGGTGTGGACTGTGCTGAGCATGAGCACGTCTCTTTTATCTTTCCATTTCAACACAGTCACACCAGTATTGCTTTCTTTTGCAACAACTTCATTTTTTTTCAGTTTAGCGGTTACAACTTCAGAAGGATTTAGTTTTCTGTTGGACCTTAGGGNCAAGCGCTCGTCGCTTTTTTCACAATGATAGTAGTATTTTTCGTTCGTTATTGTTTGAAGTTCACCTAAAAAAATATTTTGAACTTTTTAGTTCGATGTTCTTCAAAAACGTGTTTTTTAGTTTTTCAAAATATATTTATTGATTTCATATCTAGGAATATGGATGATAGAAAGCATGTGGCAGGAAATTTCTATGGCTTCCAAATTATATAATATTGGTATTAGAGGTACAAATATTGATAGAGTCATTTAGTTCCTAAAAATAGACAATTCTCTGTAAAATTAAATGGAGTTGAGCCAGATGAATATACAGTTGATACTACAGAGGCGCAAGGTTCAATTTTGGGGCCACTGATTTTCGTACTCTTTCTCAATGACTTCACACTACAAATTGATAGGCGCTTTTATTTTGTGAATTTTGCTGATGACACAACTTTTGGTATAGTAGAATCATCTATGGAGGAAATTATTATATCATTTCAATTCGGTATTAGTGAAAAAATGTTGTCATCCCAATAAACTGATGCAGAATGCACAGAAAACAAAAATTATTCATTTCAATAAGAACAATCTGATCTATGGCTGCATGATATATAGTTCAGCGCGAAAATCTAGATTGAAAATGCTGAACTCAATGCTAGGTAAAGTATTGGGGCTGGCTGTGGGTGCTTTTAGAACTAGCACCTATTGTTAGATTGATATTCAATATGAGGTACGTGATTATGGAATGGAAATTGTCGAAAGTAAAATATTTCGACAGTTTACTGCATCTACATCTTCAAACTTCTCTTTCAATAATTCTAAAATACCAATCATGAAATTATGAAACAACAACAAAAATTAATTGGCGCTCCGGGGGGACTTCATTGATTCTAGTGTCGCATTTGCTTTTTCAGCAGCAGGAAACCCCGGAAAACCAGCAGCACCACATCATTCGAAGATCTTGATCTGCCAATATGCTCTCTCATAAAACAAAATATAGGGTGTATCCAGAAGCTTCAATAGATTAAATGGATCGCCAGAACACTTCGTGACACGACTATCGTCAAACTTAAACCAGTCCGTTTCATCTTCGACCAATGAATAATAATGACCAGATTCAACGACAAAACCACAGTGAACAATGACTGCATGCAGATTATAATAGTGCAAGATTGAAGTGTTCATCTATTTCGAACCTTCGTAAGAGTTTGGTGCTTCCGTCAGAGGTTGAGTCATGTTTGAAGATCATCAGTGTTATTATTAGATTGACTGGTGCTTCAGTGTACTTGTTTTCTTATGACAGTCAGTTAGTTTGGCGCATGTTTGGCAATACAATACAGATCATCACCTGTTGAAAGTTCCATTTTCAGATGATTTAACAACAAGTTTTGCACATGAAAATGTTTGAAAATTTATTGCACTGAAAATACTATTGATTTAATAACAATGAACCACAAAACATTCGTAATTTGAATAATTGCCAATTTATACTGGGATGAAAATACATAATGAACTCCTTGTTTTAATAAAGGCCTGTAATAGTCTTAAATTAAAAAAATTACTGAAATATTTTAACCGGCGAATTCGCCAAAATATTCAATGAACACCACTGCGATATTTTTAATGTGTTTGAACTACTTTGACGTATTTGATCTCGTATAATAGGTTTGTTTTGGTTCTGTATTTCGAACTGTTATTGAACCGTCCCATATCGACGCCGAATCAACGCGCAGAACATTACAGTCACAGAACAGTTCTGGAACGGTTCCAACAAGTAAAAAACCAAAACATATAAAAAAATTATTCTGACAAGTGTATAAACAAAGATTGGAGGTTAGGTACCTCTACTCTGGTATAAATATCATTGGACTTTTGAGTTAAGTTTAAAGACAAGAGTGAAATAGTTTAGCTAATATATAATTAAAGTGTGATGATGTTTTTGAAAAAATGAGAGTAACAGGAATTAACTAAGACGTTATCTCCGGTTATCAAAAATGAAATTGAAAATATAGTGTCCTCTCTTTATAATATTATACTAATAAGTTTGACAAAAACATGCCAAGAATAAATTTTTGAAATTGTAAAAGATGTGATAATAATAATGCTTATTATTATTATTGCTACATACATTTCACGACTATCTGTTATGGTATAAGAATAATGTTGATATATAAATTTGTCTTATTTACAGGTCGCAATGAACTCTCCGAGTTTTTTTGTTATACCGGAGACAAACAGAATTGTAGATAAAAAACCAAATGAAACACCAACTAAAATACAACGCAAATGAAAAATTTTATTAGCGCGCAAGAGCAAATTCGAAGTTCTAAACGGTCCCTACTCAAATCTACGAACTAATAATTACCGTTCTGGAATAGCTCCGAAACGGTTCGGAGAAAACCAAAACACTTTGTGAACGATACTAGAACGGTTCTTACTGAACCAAAACACATTTTAATAACTGCGCATGATCGAACTGTCCAGAATTGTGAACCAAAACAAACGTAATATATCCAAAAACGAGCAGAAGATTAAAGAAAACTACTGAATTTTACTGACATTCCATATCGTTGAAATTTGAAAAATGTTATATATATAGGGTCGAATATCGACTTGTCAAATACGATGTAACTCGACTATTATTCCCATCTGAAATTTTCAACATGTGGGTTGTTATGAGATGGGGTTGACTGACAAGGGTTGATTTCTACTCAGATGAGTTGGGTTCCTTCTTATCTAATCTCTCAAGTTCCTTTATGAACCTTATCTAGTACATCTGAATGCTGTTCCATATTCGAGTTGACCCTGATATATCACTGAAAATTAAAGCCTGTATACAATAATTCATAAGAGTCGTGTCCAACGC